TCCTCAATATGACATCGAGAACATTCACAAGACTTCCCAATCTCATTCATGTTTTTCTCCTACTCTCTCTCGTTTTCTCTGGTAATTAGTCGCTGTTTATGTATTCTATTCGAGATTTTGTAACCGTATTTGAAAAATTTCTTATATGTTTCCGCTTTGAAAATACTTTTATTGATTAATTTCATACGAATCATATAACATGTTATATTATGTGTTTAGTCTCATTATATTATATGTTTAGTCTCATTATTGGTATTATTGCATCAACCATTGGTATTTACTTTTGAAACCTATGGATTTTTAAATGTTTTTGTTTGATATAAAAGATTTTGGCACTTTTTTTCTAAAAAATTGCGATTCTTTGTTTGGCAACAAATGCAGGGAATATATTACAAAGAGTAACGTCTCTTGGCATCAACTACGGGCAAGTTGGGAACGATTTGCCTTCACCGGATAAAGTTATTAACCTCTTGAGATCTCTAAGGATCACAAAAACAAGAATCTACGACACAAATCCTCAAATCCTTACTTCTTTTGCAAATTCAAACATCGAGATCATCGTCACCATCGAAAATCAAGTTTTACCGTTGTTACAAGATCCTCAACAAGCTCTCCAATGGGTGAATTCTCACATAAAACCTTATGTTCCGGCCACTAGGATCACCGGAATCATGGTTGGAAACGAGCTTTTCACCGACGAAGACTCTAGTTTAATCGGGTAATTATTAATCATGAATTTGAAATCTGATTTGTTACATTCATTTCATTTGACCTTTACATTGACTTTTGACATGTCATGAAATAACACCACTCACAATCAATTACGACAGTATCACTTTAAGAAAACTATTCATCAAAAGTACAATATATTCACACTTGATATATATTTTTCCAAAGAAAAGTCACACTTAAGTTTATATATATAATATACACAATTGGCACCACCTTATTATATTAAAAACACAAAAGTGAGATAATCATCATAGCCATTGGATGATTTTTTTTTCCCTTATAAAATAAAGTCGACGTCGGCAGGCCCATGAACACGAGTTTGTTATTATACATAGATTATTATAGTTATAAAAACAAGAATATTTTAACCAAAATTATGCTATAGTTTTTTATGATAGTAGTTGCGATAACTTTTGTTCAAAATACTAATCTTGAATTTTTTTGTTTTTGTAATAGATACATGATGCCTGCGATAATCAACATACACAAAGCCTTGGTTCAATTAGGTTTAGACAGATACATTCAAGTCTCATCTCCAAGCTCTCTCGCTGTCCTCGCCGAATCTTATCCTCCATCGGCCGGAAGTTTCAAGCCAGAGGTTTCCTCCATCATGCAACAACTTCTAGATTTCTTGGAAACCACGAAATCTCCTTTTTGGATCAATGCTTACCCTTACTTTGCTTACAAAGATAACCCTAAAGAGATCCCAATCGACTACGTTCTATTCAACCGTAATGTCGGCATGACCGATCCCAACACAAAATTACATTACGACAACATGATGTATGCTCAAGTTGATGCGGTTGCTTTTGCGGCTGCGAAATTAGGGTACCGTAACATAGAAGTTAGGGTTGCGGAAACAGGGTGGCCTTCAAAAGGAGACGCTGGAGAGACCGGAGCGTCTCCTTTGAATGCTGCCACGTATAACCGGAATCTTATGATGAGACAATTCGCCGGAGAAGGAACTCCGGTGAGACGGAATTCGAGACTCGATGTTTATATATTTGCTTTGTTCAATGAGGATATGAAACCGGGTCCTACTTCGGAGAAAAATTATGGGATATTTCGACCCGATGGATCATTAGCTTACAATCTGGGATTCTCTACGATGGCAACTACTACGGCGAATTCAGAAACTTTCACTTATTCATCCTCTGCCACAAAGGTAAAATTTATTTTCTAAAGTGTAATTTTTTTTGTTAGAATTCGGAAATATTGGGTTTACAATTAGAGTAAATGTTTGTGAAGGTACTAAATGTGTAATAATGAATTCTCTGTTTTTTTTTTCTCCTTACAGAGAGCAAAGATGAGCTTGGAATATTGGACAATTTTGGTATTGGCGATGATTCAAGTTGTATTGTGGAGACGAATTTAGAGGGAAATTTATCGAGATTAATATAATAACGCGATTGGTTAGGATATTATGTAAAAATATTAATTATTTAAGTTCGATTAATATAATTTCATATTCAATTCTACCTATTGGCCAATAGTTTAATTTTATATTTATTGTTGTCGTTAACAGAAAAATTGGACATATGAATATCAATAATCTAACCTATAAGAATAATTAACAAATAAACATTCATTTTCAAGAAAAACATATTTATATGGTACCGACTGTTGTACGTGAAAGACTTTTTGACCTTTAGGCGTAGTAGCATCATCCAAACACAAGCGGTTTGGAATAAACCATAAACCATTTCTTTGGTTTTTATAAATTTGACACAGCTAGAGTTTGTTGCGTTGGATTAAACGCATAATTCGTGCATCCGAGAATGGGATGTCAAACCCGACCTTTCTAACGCATATTCAGTCGTAGGAAGAACCCATTCATTTATATATATATAT